TGCGGGGCCGCCGGGGAGGCCGTGGGGGGCTGAGCCGGGACGGGGGCACCCAGGCCTGGTTTGTGTCTAAAGGCGACGGAGAGGACGAGCGGCGGGGCCGGGAGGGGGGTCACTTCCTGCTCCGGGCGCCGGGGCCGGGGGTGGTTGTGAACAAAGAGGGACCTTGAGCCCCGAGGGAGGCGGGCATCACCCCCCGGGGCGGGGCCAGGGCCCTGAGCAGCCGGAGCCCCTGGGTCCTGGGGTGGGTGCCCGGCCCTCAGCCCTTTAGTTCCCACCGGTTCCTGCGGGTGCAGAGCCGCTGAGGGGACCGGGCTGTGGGGCTCCTGTCAGGGCCTCACTCTCTGGTGGCCTCTGAGGTCGTGGTGCCCGTGGGGCCGTCGGCCCCTCTTCCCGCCCTGGGACCTGGGGACACTCAGCCCAGAGTCCTAAGGCCACGGCTGGGGCTTTATGACGTGGACCCTGGTTCTGGTAACGAGTGGAATGAGGGGTGGGGGGTCCTCCCAGCCCTAGTTCCTATGTGTGGGGTCTGAGAGGTGGGGCTGGGCTGGTTTGGGGACCCGCGGGTGCCCTTTCGTTCTCGTGGGAGCTGAGACGAGTGGGACAGGAGTGAGGACTAGACCAGCTTTGTGACAAGTTGGGTGTCTGTCTGCAGGTGGTGGGGGCGATGGGACATTGGCAGCCCTGGAGGCAGGGGATCTGACCCAGGTCTCCTTAGGCGCCCTGTGGCTGCAGCATGGAGAGCAGTATGGTGGGCGGGAGGTGGGAGGAAGACCAGGGAGGGGCTGCTGCCATAGTCTGGGTGAGTGTGACGCTAACTGGACCAGGAGGGTGGCCACGGAGGTAGGAGAAGCATCTGGATTCTAGATCACTATTTTACCTGTGGGCGCCTGGATTTTTAAAAATTATTTTATGAATTGACTAGAGGCCCGGTGCACGAAATTGGTGCACTTGGGGGGTCCCTCAGCCCTGCCTGCGCCCTCTCACAGTCCCCGCAGGGAGCGGGCCTAAGCCAGCAGTCGGACATCCTTAGTTCTGCCACAGAAGCGGGAGAGGCTCAGGGCTGTGAGCCCAGCTTCTGGCTGAGCAGTGCTTCCCCTGTGGGAGCGCACTGACCACCAGGGGGCAGCTTCTGCATTGAGCGTCTGCCCCCTGGTGGTCAGTGTGCATTATAGTGATCTATCATTCCACTTCTTGGTCAATTTGCATATTAGCCTTTTATTATATAGGATTTCAGAGAGAGAGGAAGGGTGGGGAGACATTGACTTATTATTCTACTTAAGCATTCACTGGTTGATTCTTTTACGTGCCTTGACATGGGATTGAACCTGCAACCTTGGTTTATTGTGACGATGCTCCAACCAACTAAGCAACCCAGCCAGGGCACAACCTGGAATTTCTAATTTGAAGGTTGAGAGAGAGAGAGGTAGGAGTCACATTTAACATGTCGGTATGGTTTTAGCAGCTGTAGGAATGGAAGTACCATCAACTGTGAGGAAATCATCAGTAGTATGAAGAGTAACTTTCTTTGGGAGATATCGGAGTTTTATTTTTGGCCTGTTAAGGGCATGAGATGAGGAGGAGTTCAGGACGGTGTCTGGAGGGAACAATATAGAAACCCCTGAGAATTACCTGAAAAGAGGGGTTGTTGTTGTCTTGTGTGCCAGGTTCAGAGCTTACATGCCATTTATCTGCCCACCTGCCCGATGCTGTTGAGGGCTGATGCGCTGGCCAATAGGACCTTGATGAGACAGTGGGCATCGGTGCCACTGGGCCATGAAAATGCACTGGCATGGGGAAGGGAGAAGTGTAAGCCTGGGATAGATTAGGGAGATGATAAAATTAGAATCCAGGGAAAGATACTGTTCAGGGAATAAATTATCCTCATCATCACATGTTTGTGTTATCTTTGAAGTTGTTCTGGGAATCCAGCTGTGTGAGGGAGGTGTGATTCAAAGAATTATGTGCAGTCCTGGCTGGTATTACTCAATGGTTAGACTGTAGGCCCACACACTGAAGGCTTGAGGGTTTGGTTCCCAGTCAAGAGTATGTACCTGGGTTGCAGGTTCGATCCCAGGCCCCACTTGGGGCACATGCGGGAGGCAACCAATCAATGTGTCTCTCTCACATCAATGTTTCTCTCTCTTTCTCTCTCACTCTTTCTCCCTCCCTTCCACTATCTAAAATCAGTGAAAAAATATCCTCAGGTGAGGATTTCAAAAAACAAATTAAAACACTTATGTGCAGATGGTAGTGTTAAAGAGATGGCCTCAGACCCTGGGGTTAGGGTCATATGGGTGAAGATTAATATCATGTTTTTGTTTCTTGGAGGTACAATCTGGGCACCCACAATGGTATTGCCTAAGACAGTGGTCGACAAACTGTGGCTCGCAAGCCACATGCGGCTCTTTGGCCCCTTGAGTGTGGCTCTTCCACAATATATCGACTTCTGTGCATGGGCCACGAAGTTCAAATTGCACTGTTCACGTGGTATTTTGTGGGAGAGCCGGGCCAAAGAGCCGCATGTGGCTCGCGAGCCGTAGTTTGCCGACCAATTCCAATGGCCTAAGAATTCCAATGTCAAATCATTCACAATTGTCCCAAAACAAACTTTCCTTTCCAATCTTTGTTTGTGACATTCACCATGTTAACAAGATGCAATGTGGCCCACATGCCAGACCCAGAGCTCATGTAACATTTATCTACCCATCTGCCTGGTGTTGTTTTGGGAAGACAGTGTCATTCAGAATACAAGAAGAGCCCTAACTGGTTTGGCTCATTGGATAGAGCGTCGGCCTGTGGACTCAGGGGTCCCAGGTTCGATTCCAGTCAAGGGCATGTACCTTGGTTGCGGGCACATCCCCAGTGGGGAGTGTACAGGAGGCAGCTGATTGATGTTTCTCTCTCATCAATGATTCTAACTCTCTATCTATTAAGAAAATTGTATGTCCTCCTGTGCCAGAGAGAGAGAAAAGGAGAGAAAGAGAAAGAGAGAGAGAGAGAGAGAGAGAGAGAGAGAGACTCTGATGGCACCAAGCCCTGGAATATTTTCTGAGGTGGGGAGTAGAGTGAACAGATGGATGTGGAGGTTGAGGGGATGAAAAACTTGGAATCCTAGGAAGGAACTGATCATGGGCTGTACTGTCTCCATTATGACAGGAGATGAACTTTGAGGACGTGGCCATCGCCTTCTCTGAGGAGGAGTGGGGGCTCCTTGATGCGGCTCAGAGACTTCTGTACTGCGAGGAGATGCTGGAAATCTTTGCACTTGTAGCCTCCGTGGGTAAGACGTTTACATCTCTTTAGGTGTCCTGAGGCGATGTCTTTCCTTACCTGTTTTCTCCAAAATAGTGTTGTCTCCCCCACAGGCAGATCATGGGCCCTGCTAAATTCTCACTTTCCTTTCATATGTGCTGTGTCTGCCGGTGCTGGGCTGTGTGGAGTGCCCTGAGCAAATGAGGCCTTGAGCACCGCTTACACTTGTTGCCTAAAAAATTGCCCTAGCTGGTTTGCTCAGCGAGTAGAGTGTTGGCCTGTGGACTGAAGGGTCCTGGGTTCGATTTCAGTCAAGGGCACATGACCGGGTTGCATTCCCCAGTAGGCAGTGTACAGGAGGCAGCTGCTTCGATTAATTGTTCTCTGTAATCATTGATGTTTCTATCTCTCTCTCCCTCTCCCTTCCTCTCTGAAATCAATAAAAAAAAAGTTGTAGTGAAGTGTCTTTGAGTCAGGAGTCTTGCAGACAGCTTAACAGGTGCCACTTTGCTTACCGTCTCCATGGCAACATGACCAAGTCCAGCTCCATGGCCTCCAGTTCTGTCCTCTTCCTCTAGCTGAAGGTTCTATTTGACGGCCCATGCCAGGTCATGGTCATTACTTACATGAACCTTGAGCTGTTCTTGTAAGGTCCTTCTTCCATTGTTGTTTTTAATATTTTCTTCCCTGAATATTATATGCCGAATTGCTCCGGTCCTGTCCCGGCTGTTCACCTCTGTTGTCTTTCATTAAGACTTGCATCATTTAAGTTCTGAATACAGTGGGGCCTTGACTTACGAGTTTAATTCGTTCCGTGACGGAGCTCGTAACTCAAATTACTCATATGTCAAATCACTGTGACGTTCGCTGCGCCAACTAGCGGTGGGGTATCTGAAGCTGGCTCGTAACCCGAATTTTAGCTCGAAACTCAAAGCAAAAAATCGGCGGAGAGTATCTCGAAAAACTCGTTAGTCGGGACACTCGTAAGTCAAGGCCCCACTGTAGTTGTAGAAGGTGCAACTACTCCGAGAATAGAAGCTGCAGGGTGAGTAACATGGCTTTTTTTCACACGGTGGACATGGCAACATGGTCTCAGAGGAGGCCTGGCCATGATGATTGGTGACTACGGGAGGGCATGACCTAAGGGCTGTCTTCACATCAGACCAGGAACCTCTGTGTCATGTAGTGTTTTGGTGCAAGTGCCACTGGCCACACCTCATTTCTACCTGTTCATTTTCACATTTGACACTTTGCTGACTTGTCTAGAACTTTTCTAGAATTTTATCTAGAGCTTTTCAGTTTCTGCCAACCTTCCCCTTTGTGGCCTCCGTGCATCACCTGTTTTTTCTGTGCTGCTCCCCCAGCAGTAACTGCTCCCTCCGACAATAACCTGCGCCTGCGTTACGATGTGTGTGTGCATCCTTGAGTGGTATTTGAGCCCCAGCTGCACACGTACTGAATTTGACTGGGAAAAGGCTATGACCAGCCTCTGCCCAGCTGACTCATGTCAGCGGCAGACCAGCCCTTCTGAACGCGGTTAGCAGAACTAAGGTTTGGAGATCCTGCTTCTGTTCCACATGCTTGCATGCAACCCCTGTGTCCTTTTCCCAGGGAGGTCTCCCCTGCTTTGTGATCTTCTGAGGCCCAGGACTGCACAGCACCTTATTCAACCAGCCTCTAGGTCTTGTGTTTTCAGACAATCCCATTTACCAGTGTATTGAAAGTGACACGTTTTTGTAATGGGACTTCCCCCTCCCAGTAAAGTCAACGTTCATTTCCTCATCGTTGCTCTGTTTTCAGGTTGTTGCCATAAAACAGATGACGAGGAGGCCTGTTCTGAGCAGAGTGTGTCTGTAGAAGGAGAGTCACAGGTCAGGGAGTCTGAGACAGCTCCAGCCGCTGAGAAAACACATTCCTGTGAGCGTTGTGTCTTGGTCTTGAAAGATATTCTGCACCTGACTGAGGGCCAAGCAGCCTACCTTGAGCAGCGAGCCTTCTTCAGTGACACATACGTGAGAGGCTTCTGTCTCCCTGCACACGTTCACCAGCAGCAGAGGGAAGCCCGGGGAGAGAAGGCCGGGAAAGGGCTCAGGGCCTCGTTTAGGACCTGGTCCACCTCCGTATCCATGACGCCTTTCCCCTGTAGGGAGGTCGGGAAGGACCTTCCAGCCATTTCAGGCGGTTGCCAGCATCAGGCTTCTCCTAACAGTGCAGAGCCACCCAGTGGCGGTGAGAGTGGGCGGGGCGCTCTCAGTGGGAAAAGTCACCACGAGTCGGGTGGATGTGAAAAAGCCGCCCGCCACAGCCAGAAACTTGTTCGGCGTCAGAGTGTCTGCTCTGGAGAAGGGCTTGGTGACTGTAGCAAATGTGGGACAGGTGTTAGACAAACGTCAAGCCCCATTCAACATAGGAGAGTTCACACTCAAGAATGGCCTCGTGAGTGTAGTGATTGTGGGAAGTCCTTCAGCCAAACCTCTGGACTCATTCAACACCACCGAATTCACACTGGAGAAAAGCCCTATGGGTGTAGTGACGGTGGGAAGTCCTTTAGCCGAAGGTCTTTACTTAAACACCAGAGAGTTCACCTGGGAGAAAAGCCATTTGAGTGTAGTTATTGTGGAAAGTCCTTCAGACACAGATCTAAACTCATTGACCACCACAGAGGTCACACTGGTGAAAGGCCTTATGAGTGTAGTAAGTGTGGGAAATCTTTTAAGCGCAAAGATCACCTCCTTAAACACGAGAGATTTCACACCGGAGAAAAGCCTTATAAGTGCAGTGAATGTGGGAAAAGCTTTAGACGAAACTATAACCTCCGTCAACATAGGAAAGTTCACACTGGAGAAAAGCTATATGAGTGTCGTGACTGTGGGAAGTCTTTCATCCAGAGCTCTAGCCTCACTGAACACCAGAGATGTCACACTGGAGAAAAGCCATATGAGTGCAGTGTGTGTGGGAAATGCTTTGGACAACGCTGGAGTCTTATTCAACACCGTCAAGTTCATTCAGGAAAAAATCCTTTTGAGTGTAGTGCATGTGGGAAGTCTTTTAACCGCAAATCCCAACTTATCAGACACAAGACTGTTCACACTGGAGAAAAGCCATATGCATGTTGTGTCCGTGGAGATTCTTTTAGCCTAAGTTCTGCCCTCATTCAAAGCCAGAAAGTTCACACTGGAGAAAAGCCATATGAGTGTAGTGATTGTGGAAAGTCCTTCACTTGTAGCTCTAAGCTCACTGAGCACCACAGAGGTCACACGGGTGAAAGGCCTTACGAGTGCAGGAAATGTGGGCAATCTTTTAGGCGCAAAGATTACCTCCTGAACCATGAGAGAGTTCACTCTGGAGAAAAGCCTTACGAATGTAGTGAATGTGGGAAAACCTTTGGAAGAAAGTATAACCTCTTCCAACATAGGAAAGTTCACACAGGAGAAAAGCCATATGGCTGCAGTGACTGCGGGAAGTCATTCAGCCTAAAAGGTAGCCTCACTGAACACCAGAGGTGTCACACTGGAGAAAAGCCATATGAGTGCAGTGTGTGCGGGAAATGCTTTAGACAGCGCAGCAGTCTTAGTCAACACCTTCGTGTTCATTCTGGAAAAAATCCTTTGGAGTGTAGTGAATGTGGGAAATCTTTTAACCTGAAATCTCAACTTATTAGACACAAGCGTGTTCACACTTTAGAAAAATTGTAGGAGTGTAATGAATATGGAAAATCCTTAAGCCAAAATTCTGCCCTCATTCAACAGCAGAGAGTATACAGTGGAGAAAAGCCACTACATATGAGTGTAGTTATTGTGGGAAGTCCTTAAACCAAAGATCTGCACTCACTCAACAGGTCACACTGGAGAAAAGCTGAATTAGTGTAGTGATTGTTGGAAGGCTCTCAGAGCTCTAAGCTAAGTGAACCCCACAGTGGCTACACTGGAGAAAGGCCTTATGAATGTAGTGAATCCAAAGTTTTTTAGACAAAGTTCTAGTCTTTTCCAACACCACAGAGTTCACAGTAGATAAAAGCCTTATGAGTGAAGTGAATGGGGGAACCATTTTGGACAATTATTTTTGGTTAATCCTCACCCAAGGATATTTTTTCCATTGCTTTTCAGAGAGGGTGGAAGGCGAGGAGGGAGGGAGAGAGAGAGAAACATCAGTATGAAAGGGAAACATCGACTGGTTGCCTCCTGCACATACTCCCACTGGATTGGTGGTGGGAATGAAACCCACGGCTCTTTAATATGCAGATTGATGATCTAATCACTGAGCAACACTGTACAAGACTGGACAATTTTCTAAATTATGGTTTTACAAAGGAAGTAGAAAGACACATTGATTTATTGTCCACTTGTTTATGCATTCATTATTTGACCCCTTTATGTGCCCAGATTGAAGATCAAAATCACAACTTTGGTGTATCAAAATAACGTTTTTATCAACTGAACGATGCAGTCAGGGCTGGACAAATCTTTTTTTTTTTTCTTTTAATCCTCACCTAAGCATATTTTTCCATTAATTAAAATAAAAATTTAAAGACAAAAATATATATGTGATTGATTTCAGAGAGGCAGAAACATCAATAATGAGAGAGAATCATTGATTGGCTGTGTCCTGCATGCCCCACACGGAATTGAGCCCATAACCCAGGCATGTGCCCTGACTTGGAATCAAACCGTGACCTCCTGGTTCATAGGTCAATGATCAACCACTGAGCCAGGCTCCATTGATTTTTTCAGAGTATGTGGAAGGGAGGGGTAGAGACTGAGAGAAACATCCATGTGAGACGTATACATCATCAATTGGCTGCCTCCTGCATGCGCCCTAACCAGGGCCTGCAACTGAGATATGTGCCCTTGACCGGAAATGAACTGACACCCTCCAGTCCACGGGCTGGACAAATCTTTACCCTCATTTGATACAGGAAAGCTCACTCTGGAGAAATGCCTTATCAGCACAGTGACTGTGGGCAGATTCTTTAAGACAAAGTTCCAACCTTATTCAACAGCAGAGTTTGTTCTGGAGAAAGGCATTATGTATGTGGTGGATGAGGGAAATCCTTTAGCCCTTCCTCTAGCCCAGTGGTTCTCAACCTTCCTAATGCCGAGACCCTTTAATACAGTTCCTCATGTTGTGGTGACCCCCAATTTCATTGTTACAAATTGAACATAATTAAAGCATAGTGATTAATCACAAAAACAATATGTAATTATATATGTGTTTTCCGATGGTCTTAGGCGACCCCCGTGAAAGGATATATAAGACTTAAAGGATATTGGTAAATATTAGGTAGAGGCAAAGTATTATCAATAGTTATTTTAATAGAAGTGACTGACTTGATCTTGCCAATATCTGTACTAGAAAGGGCCCAAAGTTGCACTGGAATATCCTGCAAAAACGTTAAGTTTCAAGATTATTAATTTCTCTTTTGTGGAAGTTCCTTTAAAATAATTATTTTCCCAATTGATTCATTTTGTTCTAAATATATTTCACCATTCTTGGAAAAGGATATGTGTGTGTCATGGGTTTCAAGAAAATCTCTATCAGGTGAATTGGGGCTGATTTGACTAGTAAAAATATATGTTGCCCCATAATATCCCCTAGTTTGAAGGGGGCAGGTTCTGATTTTAAAACAGTCATTGATTGGTTAGATAACCTTGACTCCGGGGAGAGGTTATAAACACATAAAGTAGCCACAGTACCTACAAGGGCCTTAGAAATTTCCGCTTTTATTGTAATTTCAATGTCTTCTAGAGCGTTAGTACAGAGAAGGGGAAATGCCCTCATATAGCCCTCAGAGCAGCCCTATGCTTGCTTTTGTTTTTTTCTTTCTAAATCCCATTTTAGTTTTCTTACATTGACTTGGTTTTTTACAGTAAAAATAGACTATTCTTTCCCCTTGTCTGAGAAAGCCTTGGGTGTATCTGACTTGATTGCTTAATTGGTTGTGGGCTCGATCCCCAGTGGGGGGCGCGCAGGAGGCAGCCAATCGATGATTCTCTCTCCCACTTCCTTCCTCTCTGAAATCAATAAAAATATTTTTTTAAAAAACTCACTTTCTAAAATAGTGGCCTCCTGCCCTAACCAGTGTCGCTCAGTGGATAGACCATCCGCCTGCGGACTGAAGAGTTCCGGGTTCAATTCCGATCAAGGGCATGTACCTTGGTTTCGGGCGTAGGGAGTGTGCAGGAGGCAGCTGATCGATGTTTCTAACTCTCTATCCCTCTCCCTTCCTCTCTGTAAAAAATCAATAAAATATATTTTTAAAAAATAAAATAGTGGCCTCCTAACCAAAAACCAAACCGGAGCGGACTCTGGCATTTCACGTGGCACTGTTGTGTCCTGTAGCTTTGGGGACTATCTCAGGGAATATATCTCGAAATATTTCTTCCATCCCTGGAGCTCACTCCTCAAAGATCTGGGCCTCCAGGCACCATTTCCCAAAGCTCCCTTGGGTACCAGGGCGACAGCTCCAGGCTGCAGCCCTGCGCGGACTACATTACCCAGAGGCCTCCGCGCCGTGCGCTGGGGGCGCGGAACATGCCTGGGCGGGTGGACTACATTACCCAGAGGCCTCCGCGCCGTGCGCTGGGGGCGCGGGACATGCCTGGGCGGGTGGACTACATTACCCAGAGGCCTCCGCGCCGTGCGCTGGGGGCGCGGGACATGCCTGGGCGGGTGGACTACATTACCCAGAGGCCTCCGCGCCGTGCGCTGGGGGCGCGGGACATGCCTGGGCGGGTGGACTACATTACCCAGAGGCCTCCGCGCCGTGCGCTGGGGGCGCGGGACATGCCTGGGCGGGTGGACTACATTACCCAGAGGCCTCCGCGCCGTGCGCTGGGGGCGCGGGACATGCCTGGGCGGGTGGACTACATTACCCAGAGGCCTCCGCGCCGTGCGCTGGGGGCGCGGGACATGCCTGGGCGGGTGGACTACATTACCCAGAGGCCTCCGCGCCGTGCGCTGGGGGCGCGGGACATGCCTGGGCGGGTGGACTACATTACCCAGAGGCCTCCGCGCCGTGCGCTGGGGGCGCGGGACATGCCTGGGCGGGTGGACTACATTACCCAGAGGCCTCCGCGCCGTGCGCTGGGGGCGCGGGAGGGGATGTGCCCGCAACCAAGGTACATGCCCTTGACCGGAATCGAACCCGGGACCCTTCAGTCCAAAGGCCAAGGCTCTATCCACTGAGCCAAACCGGTCAGGGCCCAACTTATTTTTTTTTAATATATTTGTATTGATGTCAGAGAGGTACGTAATGAGGTGAGAGGCAGACTTCAATCAAGACAGCCAGGGAGATGATCACAGGCTGAAATCTTTTATTTTTAAATTGATTTCAGAGAGGAAGGGAGAAGGACAGAGAGAAACATCAATGATGAGAGAATCACGGATCGGCTGCCTCCTGCACGCCCCGCACTGGGGATCCAGCCCGCAACCGGGGCCTGTGCCCTTGCCTGGAATCGAAACCGGGACCCTTCAGTCCACAGGCCAACGCCTATCCACTGAGCAACACCGGTTAGGCTAAAGTATGCATCTTTTTAAAAAAATATTTTTTTTTATTGGTTTCAGAGAGGAAGGGAGAGAAATAGATGAAACATTAACGATGAGAGAGAACCATGGATCAGCTGCCTCCTGCACTCCCCACACGGGATCAAGCCTGTAAACCAGGCGTGTGCCCTGATCGGGAATCGAACTGTGCCCTCCTGGTTCATAGGTTGATGCTCAACCACTGAGCCACGCCGGCCAAGCTAAAGTATGTGCCTTTATTGAAAAAGTAAAGCAAGGGTAGGTTGATGCTCCACCACTGAGCCACACTGGCCGGGCTGAAAAGCCAACTTATGAAAGCAATTAAAGTATGCATCATTTAAAATATATATACTTTGCCGAAACCGGTTTGGCTCAGTGGATAGAGCGTCAGCCTTCGGACTGAAGGCTCCCAGGTTCGATTGGAAAACCCTATGCTGTAGTCAAACTCCGCTGTTCACTGTTCCTTACATAAAAGTTTTTTCCCCTCAACCTGATCATGCCCATAAGACCTTGCTAAAACACCTCATATTTTTAAATGCAACCTTTGCATTGAAGTATGCCATGTTGTGAGGTAATCCTCCCGGTGTCTGCTACATGTTTGCATGTCCTATGAGCAGAAAGGCACTGATAACTTTTGATCCCAACCATTTTTTTTTTTCAAGGATGGGTGTGGAGAGAACAGCCTTGGAAGATAGTGTCTTCTTCCCAAGTAGGGAACAGGCTTGTTTACTGGTTAGTAAAAGATGCTATCTCCTTCCAGACAAAGGTGTGGCAGGCTGACTTGGATCCCATTGTGAAAGACGGGTCCTCTGAGTTTGGGGTTCCTCGGTTGACACTAACCCATTCTGAGCCTCCCTTGGGTAGCTTTGAGGAGGGGGAGCAAGGGGAACCAGAGCAAGCACAAAGCTCATGCTGCTTGCCTTGCTTTGAGTAATCAATTCCTTTGTCTCTGACTCAGGAGTGTCATGTCTTCTGCCGGCATCCACAAAGCAGTGGCAGGCTGGCCAGGAGGGTAAATCTGGCCTGGCCGGCGTGGCTCAGGGGTTGTGCGTCAACCTATGAACCAGGAGGTCACGGTTCAATTCCAGGTCAGGGCACGTGCCAGGGTTGTGGGCTCCATCCCCAATGGGGGGCGCGCAGGAGGCAGCCAATCGGTGATTCTCTCACTGATGTTTCTACCTCTTTCTCCCTCTCCCTTCCTCTCTGAAAGCAATAAAAATACCTTAAAAAAAAAAAAGAGAGAGAGAGAAAGAAAGAAAAAGTAAAGCCAGGAAACCTGTCCACCTGACTTATGAAGTGCAGACGGGCTCTCGGCTGATCCAAAGAGCAGGTTGGGTGGGGGATCGGAGGCGTTAAATGCCCTCCTGCCTGTAGGTCTCAGAATTCCTCTGTGGACTATTTCGGTGCAGATTCATTCCTAAGGTCTTTTTTTTTTTCACTTTGGCATGACCGTCCGTCCCAGAATTCATGAGAAGCACCTGGCAACTTTATCTTGCCAAGCCTTCAGACTGCTGGCTTCTCTGCTTAGGGAATAGAACTTTTCCTTTCCTCTTCCTCCCTCCCTTTCTGCATTCTCTCATTAGGGAGGTTTTGTTTGTTTGTTATTGTTGT